CTGAGGGGTCAGGACATGACCAGGGCTGGCTGCAGCTCGTCCCTGTCGTGTCCCTGAGGGACCGAGGGCTGCGGAGGTGGCACTGCCATCCCGGGGAGGGCACGGCCCCTTGGTGCAGGAATGGTGACACTGAGGGGGGGGGAATTGGGACTGGGGTCCGCACCCAGATTGTCCCTTGTCCTCAAGGAACGCAGGGGTTAAACGCCATCACCAATGCCATCAGTGCCCCCAGTGCCACCAGTGCCACCACTGTCCCCAGCGCAGCGGCCACGCGCGGGCCCCGGGCTCCCTCTCGTGGCTTCTCGCCCCTTCTCATGAGGTGACCGAGGGACCCTCGGGGACCCGGAGCGACAGCGGGGCCGGGGGGCTCCGAGCCGGGGGACCCCAGTCCCCTCCCGGGCCAGCCCGGCTGTGCCCAGCCCCCGCGGGGCCGGAGTGCGGGTCCTGCCCCGGGGTGCCGGGGGATGTTGGGGGGTCCCGGCTGTGCCCCCCATCCTCTCCCGGCCGCGCGGTGTCGGCAGATGGCAGCAGCGGCTTTCGGCAGCGCCGGGATGCGGGGGGGTCCCCGCACTTCCCGCACCTCCTGAGCCCCCTGAAGCCCCTGTACTCTCTGTATCCCCCGAACCCCCTGTACCCCGCACCTCCTGCACGTCCTGAGCGCCCTGAACCCCCTGTACCTCCTGAACCCCCTGTATGCCGCACCTCCTGTACCCCCTGCATCTTCTGAACCCCTTGTACCCCCTCTACCTCCTGTACCCCGCACCTCCTGAACCCCCGAATCCCCTGTACCTCCTGTACCCCCCGTACCCCCCGTACCCCCCCTCCCCCCCCCATCCCTCCTGTACCCCCTGTACCCCCTGTACCCCCTCTACCTCCTGGACCCCGCACCTCCTGAACCCCCGAATCCCCTGTACCTTCTGTACCTCCTGAACCCCCTGTATCCCCGTACCTCCTGTACCCTCTGTACCCCCTGTGCCTCCTGAGCCCCCTGTATCTCACACTTTCTGCATCTCCTGAACCCCCAGAACCCCCTGTACCCTCTGTACCCCCTGTACCTCCTGTACCCCGCACCTCCTGAACCCCCGAATCCCCTGTACCTTCTGTGCCCCCTGAACCCCCGAATCCCCTGTACCTCCTGTACCCCCTGTACCCTCTATACCTCCTGTACCCCCTGTACCTCCTGAGCCCCCTGTATTCCACACTTTCTGCACCTCCTGAACCCCCAGAACACCCGTACCCCACACCCCCTGCACCTCCTGCACCCTCTGCACCCCTGTACCTCCTCAGTGCACCCCTCAGTGCCACCACAACCCCCCAGGGCTGGGACCGTCCCTCTGGGGGGACATCCAGCCCCATTTCCCTGGTGGGCTGCACACAAAGCCCCTCGCAAGGGCCCAACACCGATTTAGGGACAATTTTTTGGTGTCACAGGGCTGTGGGCTCGCTGCTCGGCTCCTTCCAGAGCCCAGCCCGGTGAGGAGGGCGGGCAGGGAGGGGTGGGACAGCTGGTGGCCTCCCGGGTGTCCGTCTGGTGCCGGGAGAGGGAAGAGGAGCGTCTGCGGAGCCTGAGTGCGTAATTAGAGCTGCGACTTAATTGGCAGACGGGGGACGCGTGACGGGCGTGGTGTGACTTGAATAGTGATGGGCTCGGGAGGTGGAGGAGGCTCCGCACTGCACGGGGAGCCCAGGGGGAGCAGGACACCCCAAAAAGCTTTGCCCTGTGTTGGGAGAGGGGACAGGGAAAGGACAAGCTCAGCGTGGGCTGTGCCACGGAACCCGGGGGCCTGAGCCCCCCGAGGGGACATCGGTGCGTTGGTGACATCCCAGGACACGCGCTGGGCGTGGCAGATGTCATGGGGCTGGAAAAGAGCAATGTTCCTCCTTTATTTGGAAAGGGGGAAAGGAAAAAGCCAAGGAATTGTGGTGTTTGTGCTCAGTCTCTGGAAAAATACCAGGACACATCCAAAACCCTCCTGTGGGAGTCTGGGAGGCAGGATGACAGGGACTGGCCTTGTCACATCTGCCAGCAGCCACTGGGGCAAAACACTGCCTATCCCATGTGCTGGGGCCCAGCCTTGGCCAGGATGGGGCCCAGACAGGCAGGGAATCCTTGGTTTTGTGTGCCAATCCCTGCATCTCACTGCTGGGAGACTTGGAATTCCCTCTGTGGGGATGGGGAAGCGCTGCTGCTGCTGCTGCTGCTGCTGCTGCTGCTGCTGCTGCTGCTGCTGCTGCTGCTGGCACGGAGGCACATCCTGCTGGGACCTCAGCTTTTCCTTCCTGGAGCTGTCCTGGCATCACTGGTACCAGAACTCGGGGTTTGTGATGCTGCTCCAGCTGTGCAGGCCACGGAGGAGGCACCACCAGGAGCCTGAGCCCAGCAGTGTCTCCTGCCCAGCCTCGTGCTGTGGTGAAGGAAGGCCCAGGGGAAGCAGCAGCCTGGCCTGGAGCCACCTCCTGCATGCCCAAATCCTGCTCCTCCTGCATGCCCAAATCCTGCTCCTTCCAGCCCAGTCATCCCTCCATGGCAGTGCCCAAATCCTGCTCCTCCCAGCCCAGTTATCCCTCCTTGGCAGTGCCCAAATCCTGCTCCTCCCAGCCCAGTTATCCCTCCTTGGCAGTGCCCAAATCCTGCTCCTCCCAGCCCAGTTATGCTTGCATGTCAGTGCCCAAATCTGCTCCTTCCAGCTCAGTTATCCCTCCATGGCAGTGCCCAAATCCTGCTCCTTCCAGCTCAGTTATCCCTTCAGGGCAGTGCCCAAATCCTGCTCCTTCCAGCCCAGTTATCCCTGCAGGGCAGTGCCCAAATCCTGCTCCTCCCAGCTCAGTTATCCCTCCATGGCAGTGCCCAAATCCTGCTCCTTCCAACCCAGCTATCCTTGCAGGTCTGTGCCCAAATCTGCTCCTTCCAGCCCAGCCACGTGTGGCCAGATTTGGGGGACCCCAAGCTCAGAGCAGGCAGCTCCAGCGAGAGGCTGAACCCCCCAGTCCATCCCGGGGCTCCTGCTCCTCCCCTGCACCTTCTCCAGCACTGAAGTGATGAAATTTTAATCTGCTGCCAGGCAGGAGATGCAAGGGAGGCACCACAGGCACTTCCCTGGGCTGCAGCAGGGAGTGTGGCACAGACACCGTGCTGGGAATTGTCACCACCCAGAGAAGTGGAGTGGCACGGGTTTGGCAGGACAGGGCTGTCCCCTGGCTGTCCCCTGGCTCTGGCAGAGGATTTTTGGCTCTCCCTTGGTGCCTGTCACTTGTCCAGGAAGGATCTTTGGAGACTTCTCAGCTGTGGGGTGTCTCTCACTGAGCCCCCCAAGCAGCACTGTGCCCGTGCATGGCCAGAGGGAGGGTGGCATGGGGAGGGTGGCATGGGGAGGGTGGCATGGGGAGGGTGGCAGGGGCTGCCAGGGCCCCTGATTCACCCCCCTCTCCACCCAGCTGCAGGGATGAGCAGGGAAAAACCATCAGGCCACAAAGCAAACCATAAGGACCAGGACTGCCAAAAATGTGGGGACCCCAGTGATGCTCCTGGGAGTCCCCAGCACAGCCGGGCAGGTGGCAGATGAGCACCTGGGACAGACGGACAGCAAGGGACACACAGGCAGCACTCCCCACCCTCTGCACGGGCAGGTGCCCCAGTCAGGGCTGTCCCTGGGTGCTGGAACGTGCCAGCCGTGCCCAGAGCCACCCATTCCATGTGCAGCCCCTCCCAGGGCCAGGACACACCAGAGCTGGTGGGGAGCAGCAGCGGGGTCACAGCAGGGTCCCCCCTCAGTGTCGCAGCTGAGCTGGGGACTTGGATTCTGCTCCCATCGCCAGCGAGCATCAATCAGAGGGTGCCGGTTAATTAACCTGGAGGCACGGCTAATTCCAGAGGCTCCTCGGGTCCTGTTCCCTCGGAATTCAGCTGACCCGCAGGGGCTGTGTGACACCCCCGCTGTGTGACACCCCGGGGGTGCCCCGTCCCCGCTGTGTGACCCCCCGGGGGTGCCCTGTCCCCGCTGCTGTGCCCCAGGGCTGCTCCCGGCCGGGATGGGACCCCCGGTGCCCGAGCATCCCCGGGACGGCTGTGCCGGGACCCCGGCGGGGGCGGAAAGGGCAGGACGGGGAAACTGAGGCAGAGAGCGGTGCCGTGCTGGGCGGGGGGCCCGAGCCGCCCCCGTCCCGCCGCCCCCGGGGCCGGGGGAGGGACCGGAGCGGGGCTGCCCGGCGCTGCAGCGGGCGGAGCCGGGGCTCGGCGGGGCCGCCTCCCGGCCGAACCCAGCCGTACCGTGCCGTGCCGTACCGAACCGAGCCGAGGCGAGCCGGGCGGAGCGGAGCCGCGCCGCACCGGGAGGCACCGGGCGGCACCGGCGGTACCGGCGGCCCCGGCGCTCTGCTCGGCCCGGCCCCGAGCGGCCGCGGGGGATGGAGCCTTTCCTCGGCTGCACCGGCGCCGCGCTCCTGCTCTGCTTCAGCTACGCCGGTCTGCGCCCGGTGGAGGCAGGTACGGGCGGCCGGGCCCCGGGAGCGGCTGCCGGGGCTGTGGGGAGGGGGCTCGGTGCCGGGAGAGACCCCCGGGGGGGGGAGCGGCGAGGGGACGGAGTTTGGGGGCGCCGGGACTTTGCCGGGAATTGGGTGAGGAAGAGGATTTGGGACACGCAGCCCCGCGGCACCGGGCTCGGGCAGCGGCGGGGAGGGAGGTGTGGGAAGCGGGAGAGGGAGAGCTGGGCAGGGGCAGGGGGAGGATTTGGGCACCTGAGCAGCGACCCCCGGTTCGTGTCACGGAGCTGAACCGGAGTGGAGGGGACAGAGCCGGGTCTGCTCTGCCAGTGCCCCTTCCCGGATGCCCAGGGCCCAGCCGGGCTCTGCTGGGAGCCCTGTGAGTGCTGGGGAAGCAAAGTGGTCCCAGAGGAACCCCCGTGGTCCCAGAGGAACCACGGTGGTCCCAGAGGAATCACCTCTCCAGGGGCACTGCACATCCTGGCCACAAAAGCCAGGCCCCTCCGAGCTGAGCAGCTCACCTGGAGCGGGGGATCTTTGCTGAAGGCAGTGGTCCCTTGGGCTGGATCTAATTTTGGAGCTACCAGGATGGAGCCGAGTCCACTCCTGCCTTCACTGGCCCCAGCACCCCCTGTGTGGGTGTGAAGTGGGCAGTGCTGGTGGAGCTCCCCAGCCCAAACCAGTCTCCTGCCCTGGCTGCAGGACGTTGGTGGAGCAGCTGCTTTGATTTGCAGCCTGCTCATTGCCAGGATATCTTGCGTTCCAGGAGGCTGGGGGTGATTATTAGGGATGCAGAGCTCCAGGGAGTGGAAATTCCTTCTCTCCAGCCATCCCTGGAAGTTGCTGGAGTTACATTTGGGCTGCAGCGAGCCCCGGATGCCTTCAGCTCTGCCACCCATCCTTGGCCAGGCATCGCATTCTGAAGTTGCTGTTTCACAACTGCCAGATCCAGGGAGATTAATGAAACATCCCCAAAGGGAGGGAGCCACGAGGAAAACACCGCGGCACAATGGAGGCGTCTGCAGTTGTGACAGCACTCGGGGTTTCTGCAAACTGGGGCACTTCCCTGCTCCTCCTTATCCTTGGATCACCTCGCTTGGCATCCCAGAGTAAACAGGGAGCTGTGTCCCTGCCCATAACCACCTCCTGCTCCTGCCTGGACTGGGAAGTGTCCGTGCCACCTTCCTGGGAGCTCAAGGGGAGCTGGGTGACTTTGGGGTGGTGCCATGCACCCCCACTGCCTCCTCCTCCTGTGCCACCCGTGCCAAGGGTCCTGACGAGCTCTCCCTGCACCCAGGTGAGGCAGAGAGTTTGTGCTGGCCCTGTTTTCCAGAGCAGGAGCAGGAACAGAGGGATGAGGGCACTGAGTGATTTTGCCAAGGTCACACAGAGGTAGTGGCAGTGTCACCACCGTGACAGCTCCGTGTCCCCAGCCCTGCTGATGAAGTGGCCACAAGGCCACCAAGGCACACGAGCCCAGAGTCATTGGAAAAGCCCATGGGGAGGAAATCATTCCCAGGCAGGGATGGAGGCTCCAGGGTGTGTCCCCTTTGGACCCAGGGCTTGTGTGAGTGGGTTTAAAATAATTCCTGTCATGAGAGATTAAAGCTGTCATTCCCAGGAGGGACTGGTGTAAATTCCCCCCTGGCAATGCCAGGGCAAGGGCTGGTGAGTGGCACCGAGCACAGGCCCTGCTCTGGATTCAGGGATTTTGGCCAGGCAGGACCATTTTTTGCCAAGGTGATGCCAAGGTGAGTGAGGAGGGGAAGCAGGAGCAGGAGGATGAGGTGGCTGAGAAATAATCTTCACACCAATGCTCTCTGGCAACCCCAAATCCCACCTGGGTGGGTGATGCCCTCCCATCACTCCCACTGCTCCCAGAAGGTCCCAGAGGAAACCCTCAGGATGGTTGGCAAGTCAGGAATAGGATTTAATTTCCCTCCTCATTAGGCTGAGCTAATGAAGAGAGGGGAGCTGGGCTGAGCTCAGGACACTGCTCAGGGCTCAAAGAGCAGGGGGGTGATGATGGAAGACCCCAAAATAGGCCACAGCTCCTGTGACTTGCAAACAGCCTCACTGTGAGGTGCCAGCCCGTAGAGCAGCTCAGGTCAGGTTTATTTTTGTGAGATGGAGAGCAGAGGTGACACAGCTCAGGTAAAACCTCTCCTGCCAGCACAGCTCTGGGCCAGCCCTCGGGACCAGGACAAGCTCCACTTTGAGGAGCCCCTTCACAGCTCCCCAAAAAGGTGCCAAACCCCCCTGGTTGGATTCTGAGGCATGTCCTCACCCCCTGAGCCACTTCAAACCAGCCTCACCCCCTCCCCAGGCAGCCCCCAGCCTCGTGGGGGGAAGGAGAGCAAAGCAAAGGCACTGATCTGACTCCAGGTGCTGATCCCCAGCTTGTCCGAGCTGGATGTGCTCCCCCGAGCCCGGGGAGCTGGGATCACCCGTGGGTCAGGCTGAGCAACGAGCTCAGCAGGCTCAAAAGGTGTCTCAGCAATTTGGAAACAACAAACCAGCCCATTGCAGCCCTTTCCCTCCACCCCAGAGGCCGGGGAGATCCCTGCCTGGCTGGAGGGTGGCGTCAGCACTTTATTGATTGCTGCGCTCCGCGTGGGAGGGATTTAATTGGGATGTGGAGGTTTCTCACCCCGGTGTCAGGCTCTCAGCAGGGATGGTGCTGTGAGAGGCAGCCAAGGTTCAGCCATCCTCTTCCAAATGCTGTCTCCTGCTGGGAATCTGCTGGTGGGAAAGGGAGATTCCTCCCAGAGAGATGTGCTTGCAGTTATTAGCCACGCACTCCATGGCAGCGCCATCCACGTGCTGGTCCTGGATCCATCCTCACCCTTTGGGTGTTCATTGCTAAACAAAGTCTGGCTGGTTTATGAAGTGCTCAGAGGCTGAATTAGGGCCTGGATCGAGTATAATTCAGTTAAAGGCAGGAATGTATTGAGCAATGGAGCTGCAAGCCTTTATGTGTGCAGTAAAAAGTGGGATACAGGAGCAGAGCTGGGCCGGGAGCAGGCAGCAAAATCCTGGGAGAGATCTGGTGTCAGCACCCAGCACTGGCCAGGAAATTCCCAGGCTTCCTCACCCCTCTGATACTACAGAGGTGTGGGATAAGAGGAGCTAAAAAACCCTGTGGTACCCAGCCCTCTGTGGATATTTAGATCCTGGATAAAACATGCCATGATGGGAACGACTCTGCTCTGAGCTGGCAGCATTTAAACCCAAACTGTGGCACTGGGGGGACCTGAGAGAATCCTGCCTGTCTCTGGGACTCTCCAGGGTAGAAATATTCCTTCCTTCAGCCCCAAGGAATTCCCAATGGCTGGCTGGCCACAGTCTCTGTGCTCCCTGAAAAGGCTCCACGCTCCTGGCAGCATTTCCAGAACGTTTGGGCAGCTGCTCCCTGGGGAATGAGCCACAGAGCCAAGGGGTGGGCAGGAGGGGGCTGGTGGACTATTAATATCCCATTTTTATAGGGAAGTGAGGGTCAGCAGGGAATAATTGCCTCTTTCCCAGCTGAAGAACCACCAGTTGGCCTCTCAGCTCTTTGAAATCTCTGGATTTTAGCAAACAGCTCTGCTTCCCGTGGGGCTGGGGGCAGGAATGATCCCACACATTCCCCTGGGGCTCTCTTCATTAAAACCCTTGGGAATGCTGAGCAGTGTGCCAGCCCTTCCTACACACCCCATAAAACCCACAAACAATTACAGCCACGGATGGGATCCGTGCTGGGAGAGCACAGAGAAGCAGCAAAAGCAGCTCAGTGTGAATCCACACTCGGGGAAAAGACAGAAAACATCACATGGATTTCAGGGATGCTCCTTTCAGGTCGTGTCCTTTCATCTCCTGCGTCTCCAGGGAAGGTTGTGGTGCAGAAATCAAGAGATGCTGGGAATTGAGGCTGGGATTCACTGCTTCCTGCAGGAAGGGGCAGCTGGAAAGCAGGGAATGAGCTGCTTTAGAGCTCAGCTCACCAGACCATGTCCCTGGGGCTCTGAGGCAGCTCAAGCCCTTCCCAGCAGGGAAGGAGCTGCTTGGGAGAGGAGCTGAGTGAATTGGAAACTGCTGGGAATGCAGCACAGCCTCAGGAAGGATGCAATTCCAAGCACTTCCATGGGACAGGTGAATTCAGGGGGTTTGGGGGACCCCTTGGCTGGAGAGATAAATCCAGAAATACACTTTAATTCCAGACCTGTGGCCTGGACTTGGCTGGCCTGAGGTGACCCCAAGGGTGTGACATTCCCACAGGTTCCTCCTTTTCTTCCTTTTGTGGCCTGGGTACCTCCCTGATCCTACCAGACACCCCAAGGTTTGGACACCCCAATATTCAGCATCCTCCTCATTCCCAGGTGACAGCAGCAATGGGATGGAACAAACTTTTTCCCCTGCTCCTTTTCCCACCCCTCCCATCCATGCCACAGCTCCCACAGGGAATCCACCTCACAGGGAAGCAGGGGGTGCTCCTCTTCCTCGTGCCACTTGCTCTAAAAAGTATATGAGGCTCCTCTCTGTCCAATTAAAGTCCAACAATAACGAGGAAAAACATTTAATGGAAGGCTGGGAGGGGTTCTCAGCACGGGGAAGGGATGAAGGATCATCTCCAGGGCTCAGGATTTCTTGGTGCACAGCGGAGGCTCCGACCTGCTCCTGCCAAAAGGGCCCCAGGTGCGGCGGAATCGGGGAGGGCTGGGACACATGGGCCTGGGGGATGGGAGATTTCGGGCTCTGTGGGAAGGAAACCAGATGGGATTTTAGAAATCCTCTGTTTTTAAGCTGCTATTCATGTTTAAAAGTCCAGATTTCAGCTGAAGTCATCAGGGTTTCCCTTAATGAGGGGTGGGATGATTTCTGCTGACATGAAAATGAGAATATTTTTTCCCCATCTAAATTTGGGCAAATATCCTCTGCTAGTTTGAAGGGTGGGATTTGCTCCAGCATCTTGCACTGGAATGAAGTTAAAGTGCTAAACCAGGAATCTTGCACCATTCCCTTATGGAGCAGACAAGGAATGTGCTGCCCTCAGCAGCTCTGGAGTAAACAGGCACAAAAATAAAAACCTCGATCCACAACCCATTCCTTGCTATCCCTGCAGCATTCCCACCCTCTGTTCCCATTCCCAGAACACCAGCAGCTTTCCTGGCTGCCACAGGCACAGAAGCAAAGTTTCCACGAGTTGCACATGACTCTAGAAGGAAAGAAAAATTTTGGATTTGGCACCTCAAGGCCCTGCTGGAGCTGCTGACCCCCTGCAGCCAGCTGGGAAATGACAGGAATTACACCTTTTCCACCTGATCTCAGCCAGGCTGGCACTGACAAAGAGCTGCAACAGGGCCAGGGAGCCAAAAGTCCTGTGGAATATCTTGGAACAGTGTTTTAGGTCTTAGGAAGTCATGATCTCATCATTTCATTTCTTGGGAACGGGGAGAAAAGCAACCTCATGGATGAAAATTTTGGTTCCAAATTATCCCCACAGCTCTGGGAGCAGGAAATTAATTTTCCTGGGTTTGTATATCTGTCAAACACGGTTTAATTCTCTTTTTAGTGTTTTTATGTTGGTTTGACACCACTGATTTGAGTGTAGCAGTGCAAGGGAACTGCTGTCTTGGATTGCTGAATTTTAGAGCTGCTGACTTGAGGAATACCCTCTCTCAGGTATTCCTACAAAGAAAGGTTCTAGAATGTTCCTGACCTGGTTTGACATGGCTGATTTGGGTGTAGCAGTGCAAGGGAAGGCACATTGGGATCTGCTGTCTTGGATTGCTGAATTTTAGAGCTGCTGACTTGAGGAATACCCTCTCTCAGGTATTCCTACAAAGAAAGGTTCTAGAATGTTCCTGACCACCCACTCCAGGGGATTTCTCCCTCACCTCCATCCAGATTCCAGTTTTGGAAGCGTCAATCTTTGGGTTTCAGCTTTGCCGAGTGCTTCCCTCCTGCCTCACAGCTCTCCACCCTCTCCCACCACTTCCCAGGAGAGTTTTTTGCTCTCCTGCAGCTCTTCAAGGTCCTCCCAACTCCCCCACATCTTATGCCATCAGGAAACTCGGACACTTTTCATGCTGTGCCTCCCTCAAGGTCACAAATTTCAAAGGG